TCTAAATAGCTGTAATGTGAAAGAATAATTGTCACCGAAGATGGACTGTCAACAGACCCGTGTGAAGAAAAAAAAAACACAATGACAGTTGTGTCAGTGGAGCTAAATGATGGCTAAAATGGCTATAAATTTAAATTAAACAGGAAAAAAACCTAGAATATGGCAGGACCACATTGTAGACTATTTGCATTCTGCCTAGTGTCAGTCTATTTAAGCCTTTGATCTGTTTGCTTCTCTCCTATTCTCTGTGCTCACGTGCAGTATTTTAATACAGCCAAATTCCCAATAAAGCTGTTCTCATTTACATTTTTTCTATCTCTGTAGTCAGACAACAGAAAAAGTATGAAATGGTGACTGAAACGCGGTCCATTAAAACTACATGTTAATCAGCAGTCACCGCCAAGCCATTTCCAAGCTGCTGCTCTGCTACTCCTAAAATTCTGAATTTATAACCATGACGTTGTCTGACAAAATCACCAGACACATGCTGTGATTTCAGCTATATTTACTTATAAAATGAGCACTCAGAGAGAGAGTTAGAAGCTCATTCTCGCCAGCTGCTGTATGGTCAGCATAGAGAGGTGGGCCTCAGGCTCTTCTACAGAAAGTAGCTAAAGTCAGTCCAATAAGTCACTAGGTTTTTCACAAGGTGCTTTTTTGGAAGAAAAAAAAAAAGTTGCTAAAGGGTTCTTAAATCTCAAACAACTAAGGCGCTAAATTGGCAACACTGTTTGCTTGCACCGAATCATTTTGAAAGAGCAACAATCAATGGGGAAACTCCAACACTCAACCGACTGACCAATTGTGTAACCTTATCACAGTCACATGGAATTCAGCTGACCAATGGTGTAATTCCATCACTCTCTCAGTCAGTCAGACATTTGTGTTTGTAGCTAGTCCATATTGCAGTCCAGCCAAATACTGTTTGCATCATTTGAACCTCATTAAAAGCTTAACTCTGATGCACCTTCTCAAATGCATTAATCTCATATTTTACTATACACATCACATGTAGAAAAGACACTGTAAGTCAAATTATATTCATTCAAACGACATATTTCCTTACCTTATTTTCAGTAGCATAGCAACAGAACTCGGTTCAAAGTCCGCCATGTCTTCTCATCCTAATTACTATCACCCTCTTTGATTTCAAGGAGCCATATCATGGCGGTTTTTGTTGTTAATGAGGCAGGTTCTGTGTCACGCACGGAAGAAATGCAGCATGTCACCTTGACATCACATCACCTCTTGAGCCAGATGAAATTATACAGCATGTCTTTCCCCATGAACTGGAAACCATGCTTGTTGTGTATCACAATAAGCAGATTTAGAATGAATGAAGTGTGGAGCAAAAATTGTTCACAACTAGAGAAACATAGCAACATAGAAATAAGGTAAGGCCAAGCCACAGTGGATTGAGTGGAAGCCATCAAGATTTAAGTGCCACAAGTTTCAAATTCCACCTGACACAAGAGCCATAAGGCTGAAAGGTGTATGATGTAAGACATAAGTGTGCAAGAACTGAACGTTTTTTATAAATAGATGTTAGGTGAGTAGGTGCTCCAGGCAAAGGCAGGTGTTCAAGCAATTTTTGAGGGTTTGAGGGTTTGAGTGCCACGCAAGAGAAGAATTATGAGATTTCCTTTTGTGACGGTAGGACTCTAGTCATCTTTAGTTGGATGATCATAGCGAACAAGATGTATAAACCTGAGTCAAGTAGGTAGAGTGTCGTGCTAGTGGCCACTCTATAGGCTTGGCCATATTAATCTTGTTACTGGACCCCTTCTGACCTCCACTGGACATGGCAGTTTTATTATTTCCTCATGCACATAGAAACCAACCAGTACTCTAGAGCTGAAATGACAATTATACTGTAATTTTCAAATGCAAAAAATGTACTTGTTCCAGCTTCTCAAATGTGAATATTTTAACTGATGGTCATAGAAAACACAATTTAAATATGTCAGTATGTTGTTCTTCACTATATTCTCGCATTTTATACACAATCGAAACAATCTAAAAAAAGTTTAAAAAGTTAGTAGTGGACCAATAATAGCAACAGAGCCCGTACTTTTGGTCAGAGTCATTTTATTACATGCACCTGCAGAGCTGGTCATAGCATCAACGGTTATAAAGACATTACAGAAGCTTTCAACAGCCTCAAACAGTCAACATTCATTTATAAAGGCACGCACAGCAAGTTGAAAGATACTGCACTATACAACTGACCCAGTACATAAAAAATACAACTTATTACAATTACAGCTGCACTTACTACTGCAATTACAGCACAAAAATATTACTAAATGACATCTACTGTATTTCTCATTCCATTTCAGAGAGTAAAATACTGCACTACTGGCTCCAATGTGGCAATTCAGTCATTGAACATCATAACATAAACACCTGTGTCCATGCAGAAGTACTTATGCAACTTAGCCTGAGTGAAAAAAATGAATAAATACCTGAGTAAAACAACACTGTGATGAAATAAGAAAGAGAAAAATTAATACTGAAAGATGCCTACATAGGCCACCAACCAAGGGTACCCATATTATATTTAAGAAAAAGAATCAGTCATTTTCCACACTGATTAAACTGCAGCAAACAGATTTACACTTTCTGCCGACATTAAACCTTGGTTAGGCACTTGCGGTAAATGAGCTGTGACAATGACCGAAATATAAGGGCCCTTTCCTCTGATTCCTGGAGCAGGACTGTTGATCGCTGCCCATATTAGGATTAGGTTGCATCAGCTGTTTGTAAATCAATTACTAAGTTTGTGTATAACATCTTTCCATAGTTCTGATTATCTACTTTCAGACTAAGTGATTTACTAAGTTGGGATACACCATTTTTAGGAAACTTGAAGACTGTCTTAGCAGAAATGTTATAAGAGTGAGACCTCTTGAAAGATCCTGAATAGAAAAGCCTGTGTGGCGGTTGTATGACACATGTCCTGCCCCTCTGCCCCAACAAGCCAACTGTCTGTTTTACAACAGCTAGAAGGGAAACATATCAAGCCAATTCTTATACTGATGCAAGCAAAACCTTGCACATGTGTAGTAGAAGTAATACTGTATTTTAAAAGTATTTAAATCCTTATTATGAAGCAAAGTCACCAAATTTTTTAAGGATTTTTATGAGAATTGACAGCTTGCACTACAACTTTTGTAATGCATAAATTTGTTGCTAGGAAGCACCATCAGAGCTATCCAATCAAAAGCAATTAGATATATAAACAGTAAGTCACTATAGCATCATGAGCTGTGACATAACATCTAAAAATAAGTTTAAGGAGGCAAGAGATAAATTAAAATGAACTGCCAGTCTTTATGATATGATATGACTTTGTTGCATACATGGAGAATTATGTATGCTTATCAGTTAATAATAAAATTTAATACACTTTACAGAGTGACTGCGAAATGTCTTATTATGCTAAACCAGAGATTTTCAGTCAATGAAGGAGAGGTGAAAGGGAGAGACAACTGGAAGTTGATTGTTGTAGTTTGGCCCACTTTTCAACATGGACAGTCAGTGGTCAATTAAGTCAATTAAGATACTTGAAAACCCTTACGGTCTGATTGTTGCAATTTGCGTCAAAATTTGCTTTCCTTCACTGACTCGGTCAAATCTGGACGCAAGCATGGTACACATATTTTTACATTCAGTGTATCATTATTTAAGGGAGGCGGGTCCGCAGTCACTCTTTGAAAAACCATACTCCACCATAATTTTAGTTGGTCATTTAGTCTAATGCTTTTAGCATAACATTTGCATTTTAAGTATTATTATTTTACTTTTTGTGATATTTTAATTAAAAAGTTTTCATTGTTGAACAGCATTTTGGTCAAGTTTTGACCATATTCCTCATATTCCTATTCCTATCTCTTCTTCAATTTGTACATGTAATATTTTAGCTAGCTAACATTAGCTTTGTTGACTCAATTAGCTACACAACATTTACATCCAGCAGTTACAGGGTGTAAATACTCAGCAACAACTAATATTTCGTAATAATAGTAGTAATAATAATAGTAAAAGTAATAATAAGAGTTTGTGTAGAGTAACCCCTTTTAAATTAGTGAGGCATAAATACCTACTTACAATGTAAACATTTAGCTTATATCTAGGTTGATTTTGAACTTGCAAACAGATGATGCAACCAACTCCAGGTCTGTGTTACTCTCTGATTCTAAAATCTAATGCATGATCAAAACCTCTATTCTTAGATAGGTATATAATCTGATAAGTGAAAAAATATAAACTGTATGTATCATTAAATAATAAACAATAAATAACATGCAAGTGGGATACACATTCACAGATTCCCACCTAAAGCACATATTTCTTAAAACCAAATCTTTAACATGTATTTCTTATTTTCTTTAGCTGTTTGCATATTTTTCTGTCTCTGCTATAATCAAACTGCAAAATGGCAAATATTAATAACATTGTAATGGTAACATCCATTAGAAAAGACTGGCATTACTGCGAGCAAGTACCCAGATGTTTTCATGTAACATTTTTTCCACAAGACAATCAATTCAGAAAATGCTGTAAAGATGTAAAGACAGTGGAACTATTTTCTCCAACCGTTGTTTTGCAGCATTCTCCCCATAACATCAATATGATGACAATAAGAGCTTTTTTCATATGTTGATGGTCGGTGGCCCGGCATGCTACTAATTTAACACTTACATTCTTCTCCGTGAAACTCAAATCTGTGGCATAACTCTGATTAGATCCCTTGCTAACAGGGATCCAGCTACAGTATATGGCACCAGCGAGGTAATAGCTTGCACATAGTGCCTCTGAAGAGCCTGTGATATGTTTGAAGGAACAGCACACAAACAGAAGAAGATGCACATTGTTCACAACTGCCACAGTAAAATCAAACTCCAGAGGACATACTGCTGAATGAAGAATAGTACAGCCTCAGTTAGCATAGTATCATATGGGACTCAGTACTCTGAGTGGTCTGTATTAGTCTTGGACTAGACACTGTTAGGGTTGTAACAGAGCATGTTCAGTTGCAGGTTTTCATCCCAGTGTCTGAGGATGATGAAGAGCTGGTTGGCAGCAGCCTTGATGGAGGCTAAATCTCGGCCTTCTGGGATGTCCTGTGCACTCAACCACATGCTGGCCTTGGCGGCTACCAGTTCCCATTCTATGAAATAACTGGCAGAGCTATGCTCCAGCCAGGCGAGGGCCACAGCTGTGGCCCACACCATGCTCTCTGGATTCAGCATCCTCTTAAGCACACCGCCGGGCGATGCTGTTTCTAAGCCCCCTGACCCAGAGCTCCGTCCACTGTCCACCTGGGAGTGCGGGGAGAGTGGGGGCTCAGCAGCGGTGGACGGACTTCCTAATGAGGAAGGACCCGCATCCGTCCAGGCACTCTTGGACAGATGAGAAGGACTGTCGATGCCTGCAGTTTTCTCTGCAGGTTGCTGATATGTTTCTGGCTCACACAGTGATCTGTGCCCGTCATCGGCACTTTCAGCTCTGCGGCTGCTGGAGTGAGACAAGTGGCCCAAGCTGGTGCGGTGGCTGGTGAAGGGGGACGTCCACTTTAGCTTGTCCATGGGCACGTTGATGGCATCACACAGAGCTGTGTCCAGGGGAAATGCTCCACTAGCCAACTGCAACAACAGCTGTGCAGAAGGAAATAGATAACTTTTTTGATTTTGTGGTTTGCTTCAATACAGATTTTGAAGAAAAAAAATGATGGTTTTCAGTTTAGTTGCCCAAGATTATACATTTCCTTCCATGGTCAGTTACCAGAGAAATATATTGAGCATCTCTGATCTGGTGTTTTAAAGTCCAAGACCAACACAATATATACAAGCCAGCTATAAGATGAATTAGTGTAATCTATAAATAACCAATCAAAAAGCCAGTATCCACCACTGACACCCTCTTTTTACCATCTCTGTATTATTTTTATGTACTTTTTCCAAAGAGACTGAAAGACTTTGCAAAGAAAGGGGAATAATGTGCAGGTAAAGGTCCTGGGTATGATGTAAATAAGATATGACATGCTTCCATGCTGCACACCTTGCCATTCACCACTATTCAAAGCAGTTTAGGAGTGCTACTGCTTATTGTTCCCCTGTATTCAAACTGGCTCAACAGATTGTGACACATTCGTCTCCCCAGACAGTCGGTTCAAATTAGTGTCCATCAAAAAACATGCAGGTCGACAGAGCATTCACATGTATAGATCGGCTACCCACCAGAGGAATGTAGTCTTTGTTCTCGTTGTCGCTTTCTCCAATTGAATCACCAGACTTGCTGTGAGATCGACACATGAATCCTTTGGCAGCTCGAGTCAGCAGACGAGTCCTGCTGAGGGCCAGCCTTACAGAGGGGCAGGAGACGCGGATGTAAATCACAGTGTTGAGTGTGTGTAGCACACACCATTCGATTTTAATCTACTGCTTTTATCAGGATAGGAAGGTAAGAGTTTCTGTTGATTATTTTGGTACATATGAAGATTTACACATAATAGAATTCCACTACATTCAGAGCAAAGAGAGTTTTAAGCCATACTAGCAGTGTGGCTCTTAACATGGCATTGTTGTAATAGACCAATAATCAATTTGGTAATTTCATGACTTTTCCTCTAGTGTCACCATCAGGTTTTATGTGAAATATCTCAACAAGTGTTAAATAGATTTCCTATGAAATTTTGCACAGACATTCATATCTGTCAGAGTGAAGTTTAATAACTTTTAATCTTGCATCCTTAATGAGCGTCTAATACTCTGGTTTTTGACAAAATGGCAAAACGAATAACTTTCCCATCAGTTTCAGCTGTACCTTGTGTTGAGTGCTAGTTAGCAAATGTTTGCATTCTAACATGCTAAATGCTAAGACGGTGAACATGGTAAACATTATATCCTCTAGACATCAGTATGTTAGCATTGTCACTGTGAGTATGTTTGAGTATGTTAGCATGTTGACGTTAGCATTAAGCTCACAGCTCCGCCGTGCCTAAAGGGACCTTCATGTCCGGGCTAGCCTTTGTTGCATTAGCTTCAGTAACTCAATGCAATTTGTTTTCTTCTTCTCTTCTCTCTTCTTCCCATATTCTAAGACAACTACTACAGCACTGGTAATTAGAAGTTAAAACCTTCATGATTTTAGCAAAGATAAACAACAATTAACAACAACAATATTTGAAGCATTCAAATAAGTGCAGTGACGCAGGTATTTACATCATTGGTTTCAATGTTGGAACTGTCATCTCTGCTGTCTGAAAACTTCTACAGTGTTCAGTCCTCTCTGTCCTGCTGTTTTTGCAGACATGCCTGAACGAACTGCAACATCCTCATCTTCAGAAACCGTCTCCAACAACACATTTGCAACGTGGGGATGGCTGTGTCCTAACAATTTCCAAACTGACAATACAACAATAACACCAACTTTATGCCGTGGTAGTCCAGCTGTGTGGAGGTGCGAAAGTAAGTAACATTTAAACTTCTCTCTTTGTTTCTTTACACAGCTATTTCTGTCACTGAACAACTGAGTGCAACACTATGAATGCTTTCCAGGAGACACTGTCTGAAAATGTGGGTCATTATCTCCACATTTAAATGATTATCGCGTCTTTGACGGAACATGGTAGGAACTAGTTCTTTTCTCTTATCTTCTGGTCATGAAATAGTCGGATATTCTTCTGATGCATTAACCTCAAGACAGCTTTCTCAAAATCATCTGGCGGAAATGGATAAAGACGAAGATGCTATTGTGAAGCGATTCTCAAACTATAATGCTGTAGTCCCTGTTTTTGCTCACGCAGTGGTTCCACAACCACAGCGTATTTATGCTCCCAGCCGGTCTCCAATCACCCACCTGGCAGAAAAAATGCTCTCCACTGATTTCTGTGATTGGTCAGAGGTCACAGACGGACTCCTCTGGGAGACTTGGAGACAGAGAAGCAGAGTCAGACAAGGGAAGGAGAGAGAGAGAAAGCAGTAGTGGCATTTTCTGTCACTTTTCTATTTTGTCCTTGACATGAGTCTCGGGTAACAAAGAGCTAAAACACACCCACTGAGCTGTAGCAGTGACAGCAGAGAACATATATTTCATGAGCTGTCCCCCTTTGCAACTGAAATACTTCTGAGTGTGTGCTCATTGGTTTTTTTTTTTTTGTTGGTTTTTTTTTTGCCCAGACAGCGTTTGTCAATACAAGCTACAAAATTGTGCCGACCTCTGTTATCACTTACAAGAAGGGGGACTAAAATATCAATAATCTCATGTTTCACATTTGGAGCAATACAGCATAGTTGCCTAGAAAATGAGAAGAGGCTGCCAGACAGTTGATGTCTGCTGATGTCTTGCACTTACCCTCTGTGAAGCTACATCTCTCCCAGCCAGCGGAGGAGGGAGTGCTGCATGGAGAGACACCATCCTCTCCACCTGAGACAATGACAACAAAGATTGAGAATTGACTGTTAGCTGTCCTTTATTTTATTTTATTTTAATTTTTTACAATATCATTTCCCCCTCTTTTCTCAGAGCCTAACTAGATGTTGTTTGAGTAAAAAAAAAAAAAGATTAGATTATCAGGCAATACTGATGCAGCTCATCTGCATCTGTGCCCACTGTGCACCTTCTTTTAACTTGCAGTGCCAAGCAGATGCTCAAGCAGTGTGTTAGTCTTCGTGCCTGCTGTTGCTATGCCACCACTGAAAACCAATTTAAAATGCTGCGCCCTTTCGCTGAAGTTGGAGTATTTTTGATGTAAAGCAGCACACCCATTAATGAGCGTTCAATATCTCACAGCTCCCAGTGCTTGCGATTGCAAGACTGCAACCATTTTCTTTTTCAAATAAATATAAATATATAAACATCAATCTTGAAAAATCTCATACCTCCTTCTCCCTAAAAAGAGCTCTGTAGCTCTTATATCTTTCTACTATATTTCTCATTGGTTAGAGATCTAAAAATGAAAGCTCAGTCTATTTGGGATTGATTGAAAGTGTGAGCTAAAAAAAATGCAGCCTACTGTTGGGCTGCAGGATGTCTTCAGCTTCCTCTGACATGCCGCCAGACTGAGAGCGACCCAGTCCAATGGAGTAACCTCTGTTCTTCCTGCTCCCTGAACGAGAGCTGGAGTGTGAGCCCCTCTTCAGACCCTCACCTGAAAACAAAATTCAAACTTTGTAAAAAAAAAAAAAAACATTTTAAGTTGGCAGCTGGCTTGCGTCTGTGTTGCACAATTACGCCCTATCTGTGACGCAAACCTTATAGGAAAAGTCACAACATTATTCAGCAGCAAGTTGCATCTTCAGAGGTCCTGTAAAAATATGCACATTAGGAAGCTGTTAAAGAAGCTTTAAGATTAATTCCACTAACTAACTTTTATTATCAACAGCTTTTATTTGGGAATTCATTCATAATTGTTTCAGCTGTAAACATGAGCTAAGATGGATATTTTTTTACTTTTCTACAGAGCTAGGCTAGCTGTTTCCCCTTTGTTTCCAGTCTTTATGCTAAGCTAAGCTAACCACCTGACTGGTATCAGATTGGTATCAGTCTACTCATCTAACTCTGCATGACAGCAAATAAGCATATTTCCCAAAATGTCAAAGTATGCCTTTAATAAAAGTCATTTTACTGACACGACATACTGTTGACTTTATAGGCCACACTGTTTGGTTTATAACTAATATGATAACTAATATAACTAATACTAACGCTTAACTACAAAAAAGTTCAAATACAAGAAGTTTTTCCAGGTTATTTTTGAACTTGAGGAGAGGACTGAACAATGAGTTGTGTAAGGATCTAGTCACATTAAATCCATATGACTTACCGGGGTTTATGTATTCAATACATGTCTGCAAATACTCATTAGTGTCCAGGTCGATGGGAACAAACGCTGTGTATTTGCTCAGTATATTGCAGGCTTTGCTGGTGTGAATAGCATATAGCTGGTACTTCCTGCCAGAGCCTGTGGATTATAATAAATATAAAATGATTACGTAACATCACACTGGATTACATAATATTTTTTAACACTATACTGTATTAAATAATGTTTAATAACATTATTCAAATCATACATAACATATACAGTACATAACCTATAGACATATGCATCTTAAAAGAATAGTTAGACATTTTGGGAAATGCACTTATTTGCTTTCTTGATCAATACCATGCTCATATCTATGAATTGGATATGAAGCTAAAGCCAGCAGCTGGTAAACTTAGCACAAAGAGTGAAAACAGCAGCTTGCCTGGCTCAGTTGAATGGGAACAAAATCACCCATGAGCACCTCTACATCTCGCTAATTAACATGTTATTAATCTGTGCAAAAGTGTAAAAATTATGTTTATGACACTTGTGCTGCATCTAACCTCCCATAAAACCATTTTTACAATTTAATTCTTGTATTAATTAAACAAGAAAATATCACGTTTTATATAGTGAGATTTAGAGAGTATAAAAATGAGTGGTATCAATGTTCTTATCTAACTCTTAAAAATATACAACTGTATTTCCCAAAATGTTGACCCGTTCCTTTAGAGTTTCATTTCAAAAATTTCAACAGCTATGTAAAATAAGCAGATGAGAGATATTAACAGCTAAATATTAAAATGAAACATCCCCACGTCTTCCCAGACACACTCACCGTGTTCAATCTCACACTCTTTGTCCGCCATCTGCTCAAAATCGTGTATGATGGAGTGTCCAGCCAGGTGGTGGAAGGTCTCGTTCCACAGCTCCTCGTGAACCTTTTCCTCACGTTCCCGTCCGTTCAGGAATGGCTCGATATCGAAGACCACTTCCCACTTCATCGGTTTCCCACACAGCAGTCCGGACACCACGGCCTTGCAGTCACCTTTGTGCTGGTTGGCAGCACCCAGATCTGATATTCGGTTCTCCTGTGGGGTTTCTGCTTGACATAACTGGTGTCCGTAACCATCTGAAACATCACAGCAGCAAGATTTGATTCCTAAATTTGCACTTATCAATCACACTGTTGTCAGATCTCCCTGAGGCCTCTTGCCTGCTACTGCTCAATTGCAACTGGATTCGTGTTAAATTCATCACCCATGTTTCCAAAGCTCTGTGTTCATCCTGTTTAAACAGACCACAACTGACTGCTATTCATCTCCTGGGTCATTTTTTGTTTTGTCACAAAATATAGAAAATCATTTCCTGTCCTTCCTAACAACCTGTTTGTCATTTATATCAAACCTTTAAGGGACTTGTTACATCAGACTGAATAAATCCATTGTGTTTGTCTTGCCTTGAACTAAATGGCTGCAAATGTTATTGCCTCAGTTTCCTTATTGTTACTTCCAAAGTAGATTCTGATCCAAATTTGGGATTAGGATTTCATGTTCCATTATTTTAAAGGAATAGTTCAATATTTTGGGCAATATTTGAAGTTGGATTCGAAGATCGATACCACTCTTGTGTCTGCCCATTAAACATGGACAGACACAAGAGGCAATAGGCTACAGTTAGCTTGGCTTAGCATAAAGACTAGAAAAAGGGGGAAACAGCTAGCCTGGCTCTGTCCAAACAGCACCTCTAAATCCTTAACTCTAACAAGCAACCTCTGTGACACCTAAACCTAAGCCTCAGAGGGCGACACAGAGGGCGACAGTTCAGGAAACATTGTTTGAGAAATATAATGAATGAGCTTGGTAAATGAACTTGCATTTATACAGCACTTTTCTAGTCTTAACAACCACTCAAAGCGCTTTACACTACTAATCACATTGACCCATTCACACACACACACACACACACACACAAACACACACACGATACAGGGGCAATTTGGGGTTCAGTATCTTGCCCAAGACACTTGGACATGTGCACTGGAAGAGCCGGGGATCGAACCACCGACCTTCTGATTAGTGGAAAACCCTCTTTACCTCCAAAGCCGCCCATGAGTTAATGAGTTAATTAGTGATCTTTAATGATGCAGGTAGTCACTCTGTCAAAACACTTGATTTACACAAAGCTAATTTTTTCAGATCACCTCCAGATCAGGCATTTTGTCCAGAAATGTTCCCCTCTCAGTAGAGGTTCTGTATCAGCTATATATAATATGATATGTAATAGCTTGACCCCCTCACTCTAGGATGTTAGGCAGCGGTGGGCGACCAATTAAATAATGACTATTGGGAGACTTCCCTTAATGACATGACTGGCAGAAATGTGTCCTGATGTAGAGCCCTCTTGCCCTCAATGTAAAAGGCCAACCTGCAGACGACATTCACAAGTTTTCTTCCTCTCTCCCAACCCTGTGCGTGGGTTTATTCCAGAAGCTTGCTCTATAAAAAGGCAAAGTTCAAGTGGTTGTAACATTTACCTCCTTAATCGCTAGAAGGCTCATTCTGCTGGAAGCAACAGTCTCCACTTAGACTCACAATATGGATCAGAGACACAATGTATTTCCTAAAATTAAGTTGTCGAAGGGATAAACAACAATTCATGAGGATCCGGACTCCTTTACTACAATACTATGAGAACCTTCCTTCTCTTAATGTGGATGACCAGGAAGATAACTACCATTATTATCACCATTACATTGTCTTTAAGTCATTTTTCTTGTTGTGTGGACTACATCGGCTTTTATAAAGGCATGCAACTTTGAGGACTCTTGAATGAATATGAACTGACTCACTTGGAGATTTAGGAGACAGCTGATGAGCTGGGTGGTGGGCTTGTTGTGGGAGGGATGGGATTATAGGGTTTATAGTACCACTGTTGTATGAACATCCCTACAGTATGTTTTACATCTGCACTTGTGTATGCTTGTAGATGCTCTGGTATGCAAACAAAAACAATAGAAAATGATTGAAAATAATGATTTAAAATTGTTGTGTTTGTTGTCTCACCTGTATCTCCGACACTGCCAACAGATGGGCTGTCGGTGGAGGATCTGGATCCGTCTTCCCCAGCGGTGTTGCGAGCTGCTGGCAGCACGCCGCCGCCGCCGCTGCTGGGCTGTGGGTTGTCCTGAGGCTCTGAATCGGCTTCCTGCTGCAGAAGCGGCTCCTGCTGAGGGAGAGGCCTGTGACAGCTGGCAGGACGCCCTCTGGAAGATGTGGCGCACAGGCTTGCCAGCTGTGGCTGAAAACAACAGAAAGTTTTTTTTTTCCCCAATTTAAAAAACACTGGTTCAATCACAGGATTTAATATGGTATGTAGCCTCATCTACTGATTGTAATTCTGGTCATTTAAATGATTTCACTCGAGCTTGGATTTCATGCTGCTTACATCATACAATGGAATATCAAAAGGACTTTTTTTTAAAAAGATATAGGAAAATCACCTTTAGATGCACTAAAACGAACAATTATTGTCATTATCAATTAATCTGGCAATCGTCTTCTTCTTTAATCCATCTATTGCATGGTGTATAAAATGTCAGAAAATAGTGAAAAATGTCTGTCTCAGTTTCCTAAAGCCAAACTTGACGTCATCACATTTTTCTTGTTGTCTGACCAAGAGACCAAAACCCAAAGATGTTCAGTTTACTATCACATTAGACAAAGAAAAGTAGCCAATGTTCACAACTGAAAAGCTGAAACTCGGGAATATATAGTATTTCCTTTTAAATTACTTAAACAATTAGTAGTTTTAAAGTAGTTGCCAGTTAATTTTCTAAATAATCAACTACTTGTTTGGTTGATTTGTGCAGTAGAGAATAAATCAGATTAATGTGAGGTGTAGTCTTCATCTTCTCATTTGTGTAAAAATAAACAAATAAATACGAAGTTACTATTTACTCATTATAATTAGATTTCGATTGATTAGGCATGGCATGAGGGCAATGGAGCCTCAGCTGCGTTTACAAAGAGAAGATATAATTTCTTCACAGCCCAATGAATTCTGTTGAGTTATACCATGATGCACACAGAAATATTCTAATTTGATTACCGTTCATATATTTTGCCCTTCACTACTGAGCTCTGTCTGTTCTTGATTATACACCAGTCCAGACAGGGTCAGATGTTAATTTGTCAACACAGTCTGAATACAAATATCATTTTTCCTGATACAAAATAAGATTGCCTTCTGCCTTCATAACTGCACTACATTGTGCTTAAACAAGTACAGCAGCTGACGACCAGCATGATTATTATTTTCAGTTTGGAATCACGGATGTGAGATCAATGAGCTACAGCTAAATTACAGACTGAATCAGAAATAACTGCCGATCCATTTTCAGAAACTAGAGGAGAGCAGATCATCTTAAAAGCAATCATGTGGATGTTTCTCTTGGCAGCGCGGGTACACACCTGGTAGTCGTTCTTCCACTGCGCCTCATGCTCAGGGCTCATCTGGCCGACCAGCTCCTGGACCTTGGCTCTCCTCAGTGGATTCTTAGCCACCACAGAGCTGGGGTCACTGGGAGTGTAGACCCTCTTAGCCGGGTTGTAGTCTATTATCTGGTTGGTGCTGTACGCCCGCCTTCTTGGTGATGTATTACCCAACCCTGATGTTTTTGTTCAAAGAAACAAATACTTAATGTGAGCTAATATTAAATGATGTTTCAACCCATGATTTATGAGCCATAATAAATCTACTGGGCCCCCTGACAGGTGACACCATTTTCCAACCGTGACCAAGCAGCAACCTCCGGGGCTGAAAGATGAAGCCAACACAGGAAGTCTCAAAAACTGTAGTTCCTCGAATGGCCACTTGAGGCTGGCTCCAAAAACAAATCAAACCCCTGGACTCCCATGTTACAGCAGAAGTAAACACATTTACAGCCTGGTACAAAAAAAGGTTTTGGTCTGTAAAGCTAATTCCCCCCTTCATGACAACTGTACGGGGGTGAATTTTTATATAACTCACTCAAGGTTTAAAGTTATGCATAATTGAGGCATATATGGGTGACATTACCGAGGATACGTCCATCTTTATATACAGTCTATAACAGTGACCTGATTTACTTTAAATTGCCTTTGAATCCTGCGCTCATCCAAACAGAGGGCAGATACATGGCGACTTAATCGTGGTCTTACATCTACATTATATCTGTTTCAGGAAACCTACAATGACAGTTGTCACGGCCTGACCAGTTGAACTAGTAATAAGAACACACTAATTAAGATTTAACAACTGTAGTCTAAGCAATTGGAGATCCCCTCATCTAGGAAGTATGTACTCACCCATGGTGTCTTGCTCTGTGGTTACAGGGCTGCCATCTATCACGGAGTCCTGGTAGGAGTCATACAGAGGGCCGGAGGCTGTTTCCCTGTAGGAGCCCTGACTGTCGACACTTGTCTTCACCTGGTCCTCCTCTTGAGAGTGGTAAAACACAGAGCTGGCCGACTCAATGGAGCGCATCATGCTGTATCGCCTCCTCTTATCCTGTTAAGATTTAGAGTAGGTGACACATCCAAGAAAAGTGCATAAATGAAGGCCCATTAATGAGATTAAAAAGCTTCTGCATAGTTGAGCTTAGCCCTTTTTTTTTAAAAAAAATTCCCTCAGGATTTACTTCAAACACATTTCAGAGGCGACAGATAAGTGATTTAAGTGAAGTCTATGATCAAACTAAACATCAAAAAAGAAATCACATGGTGTAATTTGAATTTGAATTTGAATTTTCACAACACAGAAAGTCATCCCAAATGCAGTCGTTTACATCACTTTTCAGCAGGTGTCTTCCACTTACAGATTTGGGGTTGGTGTGGTAGCGTGTGGTGTCACAAACCACACTGTAGCCAATCAAACTGTCCCCTGGAAACAGGAAGGTGTTGCCCACCGGGGACAGAAGCACTTCCTTGGTCTCAGGGAAGAGCCATTCAATGGAAATGTCACTGAGCACTGGAGACATGGTTTTCTTCAGGGACTTTATCATCTGTGGAGCAAAAATAAGCCTTTGAAAACAGACTTTCAGCTTCTGCCTGACCAGTGCATAAAGCCAATGGCGTCTCTGAGATATGATTTCCTAATTGGTATCAGCGATAGACACTCAGCGCTTTGAAACCGCTGCATAATGGCTCCTCAGTGGCCCTCAGAATAGCTGGCTGTCATTATGGGTGACACACAAAGCTGGAAATGAGTACCTTGGGTTGCAGCCTCTCTCCCTCGGCCAGGAACTCTGCCGTTCCTTTAGAAACTGTCGCCAGTCCCTGCACCAGCCTCCTGCAAGCATTCTGCCCTATGCCGAACGTAAAACATCTGCACAAAGACATTAAACACTGCAGCTCCATGGACAGATCGAGATATACACGAGCATGGTAACAGGTGTCTTCTCAGGATGTGCACACATTTTGCAGAGATTCTAAAGAAATGCTGTGGAGATATACATAAACTATCTAATTTGTCAAACATACAGTAGCTTTGGGGGAAAAACAGGAAATTATCTTTCATGGTGGGAAGTTGAGACATGCCTACTGCTTTTCAGAGTTCTCCAGGGAGGGAGAATGGGAGATGCTTTATTTGACCATTTTTATTCCATTTCTCACAGAGGAGACAAGCTGACCAATTCCACTGCACCAGCAATGTCCCTTTTACATTTTTAATGAGCTCAGAGAGTGCGGATAAAAACGGAAATGTCACCTTCGACGTAGTTAAAAACGTAACACGGATTTTGCAAAACAGAGATTCATTGTTGTTTGATCTTGTCTCTGAAAGGCTGCACTGATTTGTAAGCATAGCGCGATAATGACCCGGGAAGAGTCGACGGATTGGCCGAGCTCCTGGGGGGGGGGGGGGGAAGCCAACCATTAAGGGGGGGGGGGGGGGGGGCAGTCATCCATTAAGAGGGGGAAGACAAAAGTCAATTATTTCTAGGGTGACTCAGGAGAGGGATTCACAGTGTGAGACCTGGAGATGCAAGCAGCAAAATGAAATGATTTCCCTGTATACGGCAGCTCTATTGTGCCACCAGCGCCCACTCTCAGCTGACAGCTGCTGTTGGCATCCGGCAGGGAGCATTCTTATGTTGTGTTATTTTAATCTAAAATCAATCCTGCGAAAATGTCGGGATTCTGACAGATTCCTTGTAGTGATAGAGATGTATAATGTTTGACACTGACACAACATAAGATGCGTACTTCCAGATTTCATTTCGAGAGGATTACAGCTCCATAACCAGGTGTTGCTTTTAAGCCCCTGGCAATCCCTGGATGTAATTTTTATGTTATGTGTGAGCTTTGCTTTTGCTATCTGCATAATGAGCAGAAACAAAAAGATGAATTTATTATCATTTTCTTTGGCACAACATACAGTAGTTTGTCTGCCAGTGCTGTTACTGCTACAGTGGCTTCTAATAAGCTTGGCCTTGACTCATTCTTTACTCTTAATAACCAGGTGGCTACATCAGATATATATTCATGTCAGTGTGACAAGTTGTGTGTGCAGATATGAATCAAATTCAATATCAAACGGGTCAGTTTGTGATGGGTTTTGAGTCAATGTTGATCTTTACTCCTCATTCTAACATTCAGCATCGTGCCCGAGTGCGGTAGCAGTCATACTTGCCTGATGTAGCGTGCATGTCTGCGGACCAGTTCGATAACTTTGCCTGTGTTGCTGACGGCTCCGTCGGTGAGCAGGAAGAGCAGGCGTGGGTGTCCACTGGACATCGGTTGCCTCAGGATCCAGTTGAGCGGTGCCAAGATGTTGGTGCCCCCCATGTCAGCTCTGATCTTCCTGACATACTCACAAGCCACGGCCAGAGCCTCCTGGATCATCATGGTGAGGAGGAGAATATATAAACTGAGGTTTCTTATTTTACAGCATCATACAGTTGCTTTAGTTCAGTGTTGACAACAGATCTGTTGTAACACAAAATGTTATACACACAAAATGAAAACATCAAACAAATTGCCACAAAGCAATGTATTATCTAGTTGCACAATATTATATATGTTCATTACTGATTATAGCAATATGAGGATTTGGTGCTTTTCTCTGTGTGATATCACTACAGATTCAACAGCTAGATTAGGAATTGGACTAATATGAAGAAGACCTAGACCCGCTGCAGCTGTAAAATGGCACTTATGTAGTGATGCATCAGTATTAACAATGTAATAATGTAATAATAATATAACACCAACAGGGTTTTTTTTTTTTTGCAGATTATTAGTATTTTTACTTTGATTCTTTAAGTACATTTTGCAGATAGTACTTCAGTACTTGAGTAGGATTTTTAATGAAGGACTTTTAATTGTAATTGTATTATATTATATTTCTTTTACTTGAGTAAAGGATCTGAATACATTTTCCACGACTGTAAGTATGGATCAAGCCCCCCAAAAATGCTACACCCTACATTTCCTACCATCCAACTATATAGCATCACATAATCCTGTTTATCTTTTCAAAAAGCGCTTTTCAGAGCCACAGATGACACTAATACAACTCTCTTCAAAGCCTGAGGTCTCCTACTCATGACAAGTAAACTAACAGCCATTTAATTCCCATTAAATGACAGAGAGATTCTTTACCTCCTCATAATTCTGGCTGGTTGTGAAAAGCGATTTGAATGTAGAGCCGAAGCCTATGATGTTGAAAAGGCATCCAGGCACGAGGCTCTTGAGAATCACCACCATGGCATCCTGGGAAAGAGACCGAGAGCAGATTAAGTCCACCTCCAGAAAACAGAACCACATAAAGGCTGTGAAATCTGAAATTCTTAAAGAAAACAAAACGCAAAACTCTTCGGCTCATTAGGTGCTTCATGTCCTGTTAGAGTATTCCCACTGCAATACAGCTACATGTGCTAATGTCTAGTTGACTGAATGTATCGTGCTATATGAGCTGTCATCACTGTGTAGCAGATTTTCTCAAGGAGAGGAGTGAGTGAAGTGGAGCAGCGTGCAGTATCATTTCATCAATCATCGCCTCTTCTACAGCAGAAATGCAGTTTCCAGAGGAATAACACTTATCTAAACCTTCATTCAAGTGAAGAGCACATGGTCACATCAGCCAGACAATCTATAATAAAATGCTTATTCAGGCGCATTAACAAAGAAAAACCTGGATATATAATAGTCCAGTTTTTAAAGATATACAGAGGGTATTTTGTAGGAGTTTTTGAAAGATCAGTGGTAAGTAGTTGGTACATCACCACCAGGCTCACCCTGGCCTTAAGCCTAGACTCTGTGGTATTAGACATATCCAATAAAAGACCGAGTCTGGGCCACAAATGAACATCAGTTGGCAACACATCACAGGGCAGGCTCAGTGCACAAGCAGCCAAATAACTTACAAACATTTTTTTTTTTTAAATAACATAAACCTTTAATGTAGGTGGTAAAGAAACCTCATATTAAGTCTGATGAAACCTCGAAGAAGTGCTGTCTAACACCTAGCAACTGGGAGACGTTTAGTTAATAGTGAGTGATTTGTCTGATTAATATTCTTGAGTACATGTCCTTCACACGTATATAATCTCTGCAGACTGAGTATACAGTATAGCTACGAGCCAATAAGGTAATTATACAGCCCCAGATGGCATATCATGTTCATCGTGTGTTTTGATGCATTAGCTTTCCATTTAATCTCTTAAAAATCATGTATATTTTTGATCCATTTGGCGTCGACTATGGCAACTATGACACATTTCAGCAAATTCACTGTAATCTGAAGTTTTCATATCGAGAGAAACCCATCTTTAAACTAGTGTAGTGTAGTGTTGTGTGATACATTAAAATGTATACGTAAATCAGTGTATGCCACCATGCATGTTTGGATCTGTATCTATACGAGAAATGAGATATAAAAAAAAAAAAACCTTCACACGGTTGATGTTAACCCCGCTCATGCTGCCGCTGCGGTCAATGAGGAAGATAAATTCGCCGTGAACCTTCCTCAGATCTGAGCTGATAGACTTGAGGTCAGGACAAAAGTTCAACATAACCACAGGGTTGTGAAGGATGTCCTTATGCAGCCGCCTGTGAATGATATCAACCTATAAAGACAAAGGAAGCAAAAAGGAAAGGCATGAATCATTGGGGATTTGACAGCATGAGATAACTGGATTTTCTAAGAATTTGTGAATGCTTTGATTTATCACTTAAAGAAAAAAAAAGAAGATTAAAGAAGATTTAAAAAAGAGATACGAGTGATCAGGTAGATAGACAGAGCACATCAATTATTGTAGATGTGCAGGAAATTCCAGGCAGAGTGTGGCGAGCCTTTGGAGTGTTTCCATAGAAACCGATTTTTATGGCTAAGTGCTCTCTCTCTCTCTCTCTCTCTCTCTCTCTCTCTCTCTCCTTCTCCTGTTAAGGTCTGCTGGTCACTTAACAACCTCATCACAGCTGAGATATGAATGGAAACACATGATTCTCCTAAATAAATAAAAACAAAGCTATTAAACTAGGCATTTTGAGAAAAAATAATGCCAAACTGGTATCGGTGTGGCTACATTTTCTTTAAGTGGGCTTGTAAATTATTGATTTGGGCAGGTTGTAATAACATAGGTAAGCATTAGGGCTGTTTCCACATAAGAGGAGTTAGGCTCTCCTGGGGGGCAGCAGTGGCAGTGAGGCACAGCTCATGGAGACAATTAAAGGAGCTATGAGTTTTCTCTGCCACCAAACGCAGTTTCTTGTCATGATCGGGCGGTGTTGGCAGTGATAATGGTGTCTTGACATAAGCTTCGGCCATCATTACAAGGCAAGAGGTTATACACCCTCTGATCTACTTCGTCATCCTCTCATGCTGGACTGAGGGAAAACTAGATACTACAATGACTCACAATTGCAAAGTACTATTGCTAAAGGGGATGCTAGCAGGTTAGCATGCTAACTTCAGCAATAGAAGTGATAGAAGTAGAAGCAAAATAAGAGTTAAAATTCCACCACTGGAGACAGTGATTGGCTAGTAGAATTTAAGTTTGATGCTGAACTCGCAACGTTTCTTTTAGACTGGTAAGTAAACAGCTGCTAATGCTAACATTGGCTATGTAGCAAAAAACTTACATGTAGCACCTTGCTACTTTTAAAGTTAAGTTAAATGCCTCTGTACCAGATTGCAGCAGTTTGTGTCATAACACAGTTCACTCTGAACACAGTGGCAGCATAATATATTTTTAGATTCAGTTTAACTCACACTGTGTTAATATATCTTTATCTCTGATGTGTACTGCAAATAAACATTCATAAACATATTTAGAAAGAGTGGCATGCCTTCAAGGCAAGAAAGGCAAGCAGTCTTTGCCCGGTTGAAGCTAAAAATAGACATCAATTACAGTGAAGTGTTGCATGGCTCTGCTTGCCTGTAAAAGCCAATATAGCCTAACTTTCTGACACTGGAAACTGCCCAAATGGTACATTAAGTTACCCAAATCATCACAACCAGCCTACCCTCTAATTAAGTAACAAAGTTGCCCAGTCGGGCAGAAAATCCCCCATCTGGCAACATGGACTTTACTGGTTCTGCTCTACAAAATGTACTCTTTACTCTTTCCAGATTTGCAGCTCTACACATTTCATGAAATTATGGACTTACATAAAGGGCAGACACAGTGTCATGAACATTGGCAAAAGGTATCTGATACAATCCCATTCAATGAAACCTATCTACCTTTGCAGAGATCATAATGTTCAGTTTTTTGTTGAGACTATATCAGACAGGAGTTGATTCAACCCTGTAGTGATTTTGAAACTATGATGTCCAGTATTGGTTTGCATTATATTGCAAGATATAACAAAATAATGTGACAACATCACTGCGGTTTCATAAAAATAGTATTTGTTGCAGGGAATTGTTTGTGATAATGTCCTGTTTTGTAGACTTTACCACTCTCCTCAAAATGATATTGGTACGATGTTGCAGTCATCAGTTCAGGTACACGATGCTGAGGTCGATGACACACTCACTTTCCTCTCATTGCTGGAGTCCTTCTTGGTGGCCTTGATGAAATCACTCCGGCCATGAAGATACTCATCATACTCCTCCTGTGTCATGTCTCCGTTCTCAATGAGCACATGTGGCAGATGAGGCTCTACAGTGACACAGTTGGTCAGGACCGAGACATTACTAAATATATTACAGGCAGATTGACAAGCAAAGGACAATGTCTGAAACTGACTCCAGGTAGCAGCACAGGGTGGGGGAGTGTGGTTATCTGAATTGCAGAATTATCCTAATATTGATGAAAAAATTAAGAGGTGATTGCAAATAAAGATGCTGTATCACAGCTGTGTCTAAAGGAAACAGCATGAGCTCAGAGGGTTGAGTGAATCGCGAGGAATTGGACTGTAATTGTTCCGTACAAGTACAAGGTATCTGTACTTTTTAAAGTGATGGTTTTTAAAAAGCTGATTTCAGCTTTGTCAAAATATTAGATCAAAAAGTCTTTAATTTGCAAACATTACAAACATTAGTTATAAAATATAGAGGTTTAGACCTCTGTCCTTATGTAAAATTCATGTGGACCTTAAATTAATTGGTCAGTGTTTAATAGGTTAATGCATCCATCCTGTTTCTGCTGCTTATCCAGATCCAGGTCATGTGCTGCTGAGAAGTAAAGACAAAAATGTCAATAAATTCATGCATTTGGCCTTATCTTTCCCATGGGTTTCCACTGACATCTTTTATACTTTGGCCATGAAACAGGTATTAAATTGCATCCTTTGTAGTATATAAAATGACTTTAAAAGTAAAAGATTTCACTTATAAAGTTTCTTAATATGTTTTCTAGCCTGTCATTAGCAATAACATTAGTTTTAAAATGTTTTATATGTGATAGCTAAAACCAAAACACAACCGGAAAAGCTGAAAACGAAAATCACCAGCACTGTTGTTTCAAACCTCTGATCTTATGTAAAATTCATGTGGACCTTAATTAACTAATTAATGAATTAGTAATTTTTAAACTGCTTAATGTATACACCAGTCGACCCATCCATTTTCTGCTGCTTATCCAGGCTGTGTTTAATGAATAGTCAAGGATAATTGGGGATTATACTGCTGGGAGGAACTAACAACAATGTGATATAAATGTCAATAAATTCATGTACTAACTACATAGTACTAGCTAAATAACTCTTGGTGTTATCACCCCTTCTGGTTTTCATTGAATAATTTCATGCTCTGAACAGTGTGACCATGAAGCAACTATTTAATTGCATATTATGTGGTATTAAAATGTATTTAACTGGTGCATTTATATGATGCAGTCTATGTTTCTGGTCATTAATCGACCAAGCTGATGATGAAAATAAACCTCTACCCTCTGTTGTGTTTGTTACAACACACATGCATGCCTTGTAATGAGCTCGCTTTCCTCCATCTCCATCTACTCGAACTGAACATCCATGTTGTCATTGCACCAGTCTGAATTAAACTGACCAGCACTGGTCACAGGTCTGTTTACAAAAAAAGCCTTCATAAGAGGCCTATTGGATCAGCGAGGCCGGGGCTCATTCCTGCCTCTGGGAGACAACAGGCCCACACATACTGTAGGTCAAGACAGCAGTTAGGGAAAGATGAGAGCACAGGGGAAAAACAAAAAGACCTGACACTGCACACCCACACAATGGAGTCTGTCTCCGCTGGCATGTCATACATTAATAACAAGAGGCAGTGAATCACCTCGCCACTGATCTGATTATGAGCTTAACAGAAAAAAACACTGTAAGAGAAGCTCGACAGAGCCTAAATAAACAATTTCAAAATATTATACTTGAGAGGGGAGGAGAGACTAATTGCAGGGCCGTGCTGTGAGTGAGTTTTGAAGCTGTACACCTACCGCTCGGGTAAATGAGGATTTTGACAGGACAGTCGTAAGTGTATTTGTCCGCCAGAGTAATGACGACACTGGTGGCAGAGCGGGCCAGAGGGTCCGCATCAGCTCGGATTGCATGAGAGGGGCTCTCTACACCTACACAGAGCAGAAACCAAGAGCAGATCAAATAACCACTGGCTTCACCTCCAGCAATAACAAACCAGCAGCTCCCACAGAAATCACCAGAATTACACTAAAAGAGCTCAAATTTTCAAAAGATCTAATAAGGAAGATAACTCTTGTACTGATGCCTTCAAGTGCTGGTGCACTTGTTTGATCAAACATGAAGAATAAACAGACAATAATTATTATTATGTAAAAAATTCTATGATGATAAAAATCAACAGTTTATAGTAAAGGAGTAGTGCAACATTTTGGAAAATACACTTATTCACTTTTGCGCAGAGAGTTAGATGAGAGGATCAATACCACCGTTACTCATGTGTGTTGGATAAATAGAAACCTACAGCCAGCACACGGTTAGCTTAGTTATCTTAGCTTAGCTTAGTTTATTTTGGCTTATTTTAGTTTAGCTTATCTTATTTTAGCTTAGCTTAGCTTAGTTTAGCTTATCTTAGCTTAGCTTAGCTTAGCGTAGCGTAAAGATTGAAAACAGGGGGAAACATCCAGCTGTCTCTGTTCAAAAGTAATAAAATCTCCCTACCAGTACTTGTGACGTTCCCTGGTTGTGATTTTACTGAATTTAATGAGTAGAAATCTTTAATCAGGGTTTATAAGAAGTGTTAGTGTTGGTGGATTTTCTTTTTTAACAGAACTAGGCAGGTCTTAATGTTAAGCTAAGCTAACTGTATCGTGGCTGTAGCTTCATACTGTGCAGACAAGAATGAGAATGGTATCTTCTCAGCTAATCCTTGGCCAGAAAATATAATCGCGTTTTCCAAAAAAAACATTCCTTCCTGTTTTGTTACCAAAACCCAATTCAATTCAGCATTTGCTGTACACACAAATAAAGCTGAAGCAATGTTTTGTTTTTTCTTCACCTCACTGCAGCATGCATCACGATAACAATTTCTTATTGCAGACATGAGAGCTGTCAAGAAACTCTAAAATGCAGTGCTTGATTACAGGATAGCTCAAGTGGCCTGTTATATGATCATACACGCTGGCCCACTGGATTCATGGATTTGTTCTTGGAATAATGGTTAGTTCTCTGACCTGCGAGGAGATAAGGAGCGCGTATCTCTAACTGGAAGTTAAATTTGTAGTCCATGGAGTTGATGGCCTCCTCCTCCAGCAGTGAAGCCAACCACAGCTGAGGGGAGTTGGGAGTTTGATCATGAGGACTTGAGGCACTGGTATGCCTGTCCCGCCTAAAAGTGGCAAAGCATAACTACATTAAAATGGAGCCATCTCAAATGAACATATAAAATGTTAGTACTCAGATTCCATCCATAAAAAAAGTATATTTGGGGCCCAATAATCCAGTTTACAGTAAAAAATCGTACTTTGAAATACACCAAATTTGACCACAACATGTAACAAGGTGTAATATCAATATGGCAGTTGTTCTTTGTTTTCTTTATTATTATTGTTTTCACGAGTTCCTCCGTTTTTTTCTTACGTTCTGGAGAAGTTGGGGGACAGTCCCTGCTCCTCATTGATGGTCCTCTGTACTCGAGGCGTACACACCGGTGGGGTTGACACCCTGATGCCCCCGCTGGGCAGGGTTGAGAGCTCAGAAGAGGTGCTGACCAGAATATGGACCGTCTCCATAGGAGGGATGATCCCAAGGTTAACCACTAACACTGTCGCCTCCAAATCCTCATCCAACACTATGTGTCCTGTAACACCAGACTAGATTAGCAAACAACCACATTTTTAAAATTGACCACAACCTGTATGACTCTCAGGGTATACAAGTCCATGTCAAGCTGTCCAGAAACAGCCTGGAGTTATCTTTGACGCCTGATTCCTTCCTTAATTCTTCATTTTAATCTTGAAAACAGACATCACTCGTAGTACAGAATGTTGGAATGACTTTTTGTTGCTGAAAGTTTTTGCTGATTTATGTCGAAATCAAAGTCAGGCTTCAAAGTCAGTTAAACCTCTAACTTATTAACCTCTTAAAAACCTGTAAACAACTCAAGGCACCTTGAGTAAGAGTCTTTCCTAAGATTAAAGCATGGGTGAGAGGGCAGGTGTATCTTTAGAGAGACCTCAAGGTAGATTATCACATTATCACATTATCACATTATCACGTCTTGTTGCTCTCAGAGTTAATTCTACAGTAACACAAGTATTTCTTTGCACTAGTGAAATAACTAACTATAATGTTATCTTGAGATCACATCCCATTGATTATATTGGCTTATAAAAAAAATTTCTAGCTGACTCAAACCCCTAGTCAGATCCATAAATACTCTACATTTGATGAGAATGTGTTGGAGTTTTATATGCATACCCATGTAACAAAAAATATAAAGGGGTACTCCATCAATTCAACATTGCCCTTCCATAAAGTTTGGGCACTTGTGAGAGACAAATTTAAGAAATAAATAAATAAATAATGGTCCTAATGAAAGTTCGCATCAGAACCACAGAAGAAATCACAGGTGACAAGCAAAGTGATCTCCATATGTAAAATTAGTGAAGTGGCCCTTTAAACCTGCATTCAATTATTTTGTAGACCACTTAGGGAAAGTGCAACAAGCTCTAAACAGTGGTATATTATCACCTCTTAAAATTGATGTGCTACATGTTAGCAAACAATTACCTGGATGTTGATTTACACATCCAGCAGACACGGAGCAACATTAACATTCATTTGTATCCACCTGATGAATATATACACCGGTGACAAATTAAAAGAAAAACCAGAATTAATGAGTGGAGAAACATAACGAATGCAGATGCTTCCACACTGGTGCACTGAGTGGTACAATTAAGCCATTAACATCCGGTCATGCTCTGCAGCAGCTATAATAATGCTGAGCAGGCTCAGTTGATTGTCATTTTGTATGACGATGGAAGGAGTGAGGTGATCTGGTGGCTCTGTCATACTGTGGGGTGCATTTTGCTGGCACAGTTATAGAGAAGGGAAATCAATAAAAAGTTGTTCTGAGTGATCACCTTTATCCTACGAGGAAACATTTCTATCCTGATGGAGGCTGCCTCTTCCAGGATGAGTATGCCCCCATCCAAAGGATACAAGGGCTTAGTGAATAGTTTGATGAGAATGGAAATGAAGTGAGTCAGATTCTATGGCCTTCGCAGTGACCAGATCTCAACCATTTTGATTTTGGACTGACGTGTTAGACAGCGCTCTCCACCACCGTCATCAAAACACCAAACGAGGGAATATCTTTTGGAAGAATTGTGTGCATCCCTCCAGTAGAGTTCAGTGACATGGAGAATGAGGGCAGCACATGGTGGCCCAATACCTTACTAAGACACTCTATGTTGGTTTTTCCTTCAGTTCGTCTCCACTGACTTCTGAGGGTCTCCTGGCTTAGTAGCTAATACATTCACCATGATCACTAGATGGTCTCTAACTTTGGAAAACGGGTTGCTACAAGCAGTGAGAGTGAACCAAAACCGTGAAGAACAACATCAAAACAATGAGCTGAAAGACACTTAAACACTCTATAGAGCTGAAGAGGAACTGCAGAGTCAGGTGATAATTTTCTCTGGGTTCATCACTATGAGCAACCCCATTTCACATTATAGTCACTTGATCCTTTGCTTATACAAAAATATTGATTAGAGCACCTTTAATCTTACCACTGCCACTCTGGAGAGCTCCATTAGATGTGTTGTAGCAATCGAGATAACAGTCCTCAATTTTTGCCTTGTCTTTGATTTGCAGTGTTATGATCTGACTGGATATCATAGCCTCAAACCCTACAACAATGGACTTTTCCTCCAGTGGATAAATGAAGATTCCTAAAAAGCAGCACAAGAGGAAAAACATGAATATGTGCAGATGCAGCAGACAAGCAATTACACATATTCAGTCGATAACAATCAGTTTTACAGCAGTGTGTTTCAGAGCATAAGGTGGGTTTAAATTGATTGAAAGTGGATAGCGTTCCCGTGACTGAAGTAAACAAATTAGTCTCCTGTAGTACACACTTACCCTCGATTGCATGATCTTCAATATTTTCATAGGTCATAGAAGCTGTCAGGGCCAGAGTATAACCCCTGACACAGGAAGTGATGTCAGAGACACTGAGGGGCAGAGCACTCCGATTCTCCTTGTTAATGAGTCCAGGCATGGTGCTGGTTTTAGGATTCTGGTTTTGTAACATGTGGGGAAAAAAAAAAAAAAAACCTCCTCAGATAATGACAATTGAACCAACAATGTGTGAAATAAACTAGTCTGCACACCACCACACGTGTGTGTCTTGTTTATATTGGTGTAATACAATACAAATAATACAAAATACAAAAACGGATCAAAACTTCAAAAGCTGAGTTTACAAAAGTCGTCCGTTCGCACGCCACGATTTCTTCGTGCGAATTTCTTCCCGAATTTCCACGAGGCCCAACAAGGAGGGAACAGTACAGGTGAGCCCACGCAGAGCCCTGTGGTTTAATAGGTATTTCAACTTCAATAATCTTCTACGATATGATGTAAAACCAAGGAGCCTGAGGGCGGGTGACAGAGGTACTTTAGGCATTTGAGATAAAGGTCACGGCAATAAAACAAATTTAGGGTGGTTTCAATTCTACAGCACACCAGCAATGTAATAGCAGAGGGAAAACTGTATTCAGTGCCATGTGAGGGGAAAAAAATAAACTTTGGATGTGTTGAAACTGCTTGGGGAGGAATACGGCATTGGTAATTGTGTAAGTGATACTATAAAATTATCTGTTGCTTCAGGGCTGTGCTTCATTGTTAATGTCGTCTCCTCCGCCAGCAATCTTGGTTATGCGCTGTCAATGGTCTGTGTCTGCTGCACGACCAGAGCCCCAGCACAGGCTTGATAGGAAGTGTTATGACGAAAGCAATTTCCATAGAGACAGCTCTGCTTGCTGGCCTGCTCGCCTGCTGACTGACCAGCAACGTCTCGAAAGTGTGCCTTTATTTGCGGCACCGTGACTGATTGCAATTAAAACACAGGGCGATCTCTGTCCATCACACACAAATCACAAAATGATATTCACTTCGAAAATTCAAGCTGGTCTCCACAGACACAACTTTAACACTCATAGTCTGGCTGCATAAGAAGTCCTTCAGAATCAATATCAAATTCGATCAGTCTTTTCTAATAGCCAAACTGGGGTTTTAGGCACCACATGGTTATTTATGGCGAGGAAAAGGTCATTCAGATGCAGTTAGGGACTATTTTTGCTGTCTGTCTCAACAGTGCCATCGTGTGTCCAGTCAACCACAGATTTAGAGGCAAACAGAGATACATCCCTTTGTCCCTATATAGAAACAATCTCCTTTTATACGTGAATAAAGAATGATTCGTGCATGGCTGGACTGCAAAATATCATATTGCTGTGAGTGATTTAAAAAAAATTAAGAATTAATGTGAAATTAAACCTCTATCTCATTTGTAAAAGCAGATTTGGATTCAAATTTGAAATAAGTTTTTTTTTTTTTTTAAATTTGGTGAGACTGGTAGGTGTCTTTTTAAGCATCTTTTTCTTTAGGGTGTTTCAGCTTATGATTAGTGTTAAAAGTGACAGTCCCAGGGTGCTCCTCTCCTGGTTGGCTCAGTCACATGAATCACCCTGCCTCCCTTTGGGTTTTGCGAAAAGACCAGCAAACCGTCAACTCTTAACATTTTCTATCAGCAGTGCCACACTCCTGTGCACTCATTAGTGCCAAAACAGAGCGCAGATGCTGTGGTAACCACCTGTTGAAACACACTGTCTGTATATCTGTTTACAGCACAAACTGAGACAGATCACTGGCAGTTTTAATCATCATCTAACTGGCCTGACCTTTTCCTGATTTAAAACAAATGACAGGGATGTTTAATATATGCATCATCAGAGAGACACACTGCGCCATTAAAATGCATCTGATACAGTCATACTATCAGCCTCATTACCTTACCTTTCATTTGTGTCAACTGGATATGCAGCGAGGATCTCTTTCTCTGTCAGAAGTCCACTTATCATGAAAGATATCCACCTCCTCCTCCTCCTCCTCTCCGACCTCTCGGCTCCAATTTTTTGTTCTCTCTCTGTGGCGTAGAGGGAATAGGAGTGCTGCCACAGGTGGCAGAAACTACAGATGCAGCGGACTCATCGTTAGTTAGATGTACAATGCAAAGAAAGGGAAAGGTAGGAGCTGCTGCAGCACTTCAATCAAGCACAGCAACATGTGGTTACAGAAACTGTATTTATCCTCTCCTTCTCTTCCTCCTCCTCCTCCCTGTGGATGCTGGAGTTGGAGGGCTTTGAGAGAGAGAGAGAGAGAGAGAGAGAGAGAGAGAGAGAGAGAGAAAGAGAGAGAGAGAGTAAAGGGAGGGGGGGACGGTGACATAGGGTCCTGTCCTTCCAATAAATATTCCCCTTCCCATCCCCTACGCATTGAAAGCATCAGCACCACCCACTCACTCCAGCCCTCTCTGACATCGATGACAACAGGAGCCATCCAGGTATCCTTTTTAACAGCAAGGGATCAGTGTAAATGACATGTAGTGTAACACCAGGAGAGTGAAAAAGAGGCTGGAAACAACAGATGCGTTTCTCCATCATATCACCTATAATGTCTCTCTCTCTCTTCCTCTCCCTGGTGTGATTGGAAAGCCCTTAATGTTTTAAATCCAATGTGGGTGTTTGGCTGTCTCTGTGTTTTTGTGATCACTTGGTTTGATCCATCTGCTTTCCATGCGGGGTTACCATGACAATTAATAAGTGTTTAAAAAGTCATTTTGGTATAGTCGTGTATGTAGATGGTGTCTATGTGTGTGTGTGTGTGTGTGTGTGTGTGTGTGTGTGTGTGTGTGCATGGGGGTGGGTTGGCTGAAACTCAGCATCCGCCTCCAAATTGAATTTACCTGCAGCCAATAAAACTTGGTCTCTACACACCTCCCCCCCTCACCTCACCACTTGCTGGCTTCTCATTCTCTTATCTGTTACCTCTCCAACACGGTCACACACCAACACACACTCACTCACTCACTCTTTCTTACAACAACCACAGAGTGGGAGGGTAAAAGGCAAATTCAGTTTACATTTAGAGGTTATGTTTTAGCAACGCAGTAGCATAAGTGACTTTACATTGTGCAAGTAACAATTATTTTCATTAATATGCAGATTATTTCTCCTAGATTAATCATTAAGTCAAGCTGTCAGAGAATATTGACTGTTGAAACCCAAAACCCAAACATATTCAGTTTACAATCACATAAGACAAAGAAAAGTAGCAAATGCTCATATTTGAAAAGCTGGAACTAGAGGATGTTTGGATTTTTGCTTGAAAAATGACTCACTGTCTATAAGTGATTGACTCATCAATTAGTCCACTGATTGCCTCAGCTCAACTTTGAACAATGAGTCTATGTCACCATCATACATAAGGCAATCAAGCATGTTCTGAACAGGAAGTTCTGATGAATGTTTCATGCATTTTATGCACCTAAAATGTTTCTGTCACCATGTCAAGCAATGATATTACCTGCACTGTATAGGAGCTGAAACATTGAGTCAATTATAGACAGGAAATTAATCTACAACAAATTTTTTTTCCAAATTGAGTCATAGTGTTATTTCACAAGCAGAAATACCTGGTTTCAGCTTTGCATTTGCGAGAATTTGCTGCATTTCTTTGTCGGCAATGGTAAATTGAATATATTAAGGTTTTTGACTGCTGATGGACAAAACAAGCTATTTAATAAGGAGTCGACTCCGGCTCCAGGATATTATGATAACAGTTTTCTCTATTTATCGACTTTTATTAATTAATCATGAAAATAGCTGTAGCCCTTGTTTTACTCCAACATCCAACAACGTAACATCAACATCTAAATTTAAGTGGAATTGTCCATTAACGTCCATACTATATAAAGAAAATAATTGTTCATTTACAGAAATAATAGGCAGAACATTTTGAAATGAATGATAATAAAAAAAAAATAATACTTATTATTTACTGAATAGTTTTCTAGATACTTTACAAGACAAAGTGAATGTAGGCCTACAAGTAAACTTTACCATGTAGTGGAACTTGAAAATACTTCAGCTCATAGATATTAGTGCACGTCAAGATTATAACAATGAGAGTTATGAGGAAATTAAATCACCCAGTATGCTTCTTTAGATAAACGGCATAATAGAGAAAAATTTATGAATAACAAAGCAAATTTATAATACAAGACTAAATAAATAGAATACACTGTGTGGAATGTTGTTATTTTTATGGCTTTACATAAATATTAGATTAGTTAATTGTCATTAACTGAAGAAATGTCTCATGTAGCGGTTCAGTGCAAATCATCTGTGATGGGTGTGTCAGCAGGTTCACTCGACAAACATACTACGGTGCCTTCACGTTTTCCCCATAAACTCCGTAAACGTTCATTCTAATGTTAAGTCTGATGCCTTCAAGCTTTGTCTTATTTTTATATAACTGCAAACTACGCCTCAGCTGTATAAAGAAGAGCATTAATTAATGAAAAAAAATCTTATAACTACTATCGAAAAAAGAGAGAAAAATAGACGTAAATGTAACTTCTAAGATGTCAACAGAGGATTTAATTGGCTTCCTCTTAAACCTTTCACCTCATGATAGTCCACTGAATTAAGGTTAACATTAGCTGGTGCTGTAAAATAACCAGCAGGTTCCATTGGCCTCTTCGATTGGCTGACTCTGGTGGCTCGGGTCTTAAAATTATGATATTTCCGACGCCTTGGAAGGCAGCATCAGTGGTGCGGTCCAGCGGGTTGTGGTTGGTTCAGCTCGGGACAGCGGCTCACCGTCACGTCACTTTCACGCTGACATCAAACTTTTGATGAAAAGTGTTGTTTGTCACGAAAGAAATACACATTTAATGTTTGAAAATGTCCGAAGACTCGTGGGCACTGGCTGTCGATGTTCAAGAGGCTACAACTCCATCACTACAGGTAAGTTTTACAGGTGACCAACTGCTCCAAAAGTAACATCAAACAGTGGCTAACCAACCTGCTCATCGTTCGGTAGCAGGCTAGCTTAATCTGCTGCCTCGCAACTTTGCTTACACACGCAGTTTGTTGCATAATTTCTTTTTTTTTAGCTAATAATGTGATTAACTGTGTTTTCTCTAACTAGTTTGACTTCTCCAAGAAAGTGGATCGAGTGCGTGGTCCACGTAACATGAGAGGAGACATAAACGGTAACTTAGTTAATAGTTTTCTGTTTTTAAATCTCTAACTAATTTTATCGCTGACTAATGGTGGCATTTGACGCGGGTTGGGGGGGGGGGGCTTTCTCCACCTGTGCAGGCAACATTGTGTCGGAGAAGAGTGAAAATGGAGGCTGGCGAAGAGACGCGGACAAAGTGGACCTGGCCGAACAGTCCCTGTTGAATAAACTGATCCGCCGCTCTCTGGTGCGGAACAGAAACCAGGTGGAGGTCCTGCAGAGGGACCCCACCTCTCCTCTCTACTCCGTGAAGACGTTCGAGGAGCTGAGACTGTGAGTCTGAAGGGAAAGGTTTTTGATAATGACCTGGGTCTCAAACAGATGCGCACTAACACCCAGTTGACAGATAATGTGGTACACCGAGGTAAAACTAATACTACAGGCCTGCAATAAAATAATGAAGGTTGTAATATTCAAATTTTATTGAAATTGTTTAGAGACTTGTTGATTCAAGTGTATGATTTGGAGGATGTAGTTTGTGGTGTTGTTGAACTGTATTGCATTATACAGAGAGGTGTTTATGTTGTTTAGCCTACCCTCTTAATCTATATGAGCCTACCCTCATATAAATGAGGTGGACAAAATAATACAAACACTTGTCCATATAATACAATACAATTCAATAGCACCACAATCTACAGCCTCCAAAATGACTATAAAACTGAATCAGCACCTCTCTAAACTAATTTGAACACCAACCAAACAGCATAACCTTCATGAAGATAGGATTTGTTGTAGAGCTATTGTATTAGACTGCATTAGTTTTAATTAGATCTATCAAATAAACTCCAAAATGAGTGTATACAGGTGTATCCAAAAGTTTGGACAACCCTGGGCAAATGAAGTATTTTATTGTTTTTTTTTTTTTAACTGAAAAGAAGAAAATGCAGTTCCTGCAATAAACAGACTTTAAAAAAAAAAAAAAAGCTTTTCTCTTCAAATGTTCATATACTGTTGGCTTTTATTCATGCATTTTAAAAAAAAAAACCCATGGGGATATGATTAACAATACAGGGTGAGGTAAGGAATAAAATATTCACTGTGCTCCTTAGCAATTTAACTCATCGTTCCGCATTTTAATCATGAGGAAATTACAGGATATGGTCTGTAATAGACAAGGACATTCTCAAGGACAAAGCCAAGAGAAAATACCAGAGAATGGTAAAAGCTTCCCCAAAGTGACGCAAGGGGCACACAAATATTAAACACATTTTGTTATCATTCAGTGTGACTTACACTTACCGTGTACATCATGTCAGATGTCCATCGAGATTACACTTCCATAAATCCACTTAGAAATCATTAAAAAGATTTGCCTCAGAACTTGCTTATTTTAAGTTTTCTTGAGTATAAAAGTAATCCATTTGATACAAAGTGTTTGGAAACTGTCAAAGTACTGACTTAGTAGGGTGACCAAACTTTTGCACATGCCACAATTACAGTTCAATCTTCCTATTTTTTTAAGTCAATTATGGTTTAATTTTTTCTATTTTTGAAGTTAATTAAATAAAAAGTAACAGTTCATGAACATGAAAGGCTCATTATCACTGTCTGTTTGCTGCAGAGGTTTTACTTCTCTTCACTTGTAAAATCAACAAAACATGTAATTTGCCCAAACTTTGCATACAACTGAATGTCTTTTTTTCCACTATTCCTGTTGTTGTGACTCGATGTTCAATAGCAAACCTGAGCTGTTGAAGGGTGTGTACAACATGGGTTTCAACAGACCATCCAGAATCCAGGAGAATGCTTTGCCCATGATGCTGGCGCAACCGTGAGTTCATTTCCACTCCTCTAAATTACTGCTGAGACAAGTAATCAATTCATCTCTGAATCAATGGACAGAAGATTAATCGTCAATAATTTTGGTTGTTGAGTAAGATTATACATTCAGGGAAAACACCTACTATTTGCTGGTTCAAGCTTCTCAAATCTAATGATTTGTTGCACTTCTGTCTTTTATGTCATCGAATTGAACACCTCTAACAGAAATTTTGTAAATTAATGATTAAGTTACTGTAAAATCAATTGATTGAAAAAATATTCCACATATTAATTGATGATGGTAAATCATTTTTGACTATTCATTTTCTTTGAGACATTTTTGGCCTGAATGCACTTACTGAGTTTGGGGTTCCAACTAATTCTTATTTTCATTATAGCTGCAATGATTAGTCGATTAATCAGTCAACAGAAAATTAATTGACCACTATTTTGATCAACTTGTTGCTGCAGCTCTAAAATGGACTGCAACTATTGTCCTTTTAATTTGGTGCCAACAACTTGTGAAAATCTTTTTAACATTCCTCACATCATGGTTTTCTATGATTTATTCATCAATGTGTTTTCTGTGGTTGTAGACCTCAGAATCTGATCGCCCAGTCACAGTCTGGCACAGGCAAAACTGCTGCTTTTTCTCTGGCCATGCTCAGCCATGTAAACCCAGCCAATAAGTGGACTCAGGTAAGCATATAACATGTAATCTCCACAGTCAGCCGGTGTCCACAGCCAGCTGAAGACCCTAAAATGCACTAACCATTAAAAACTGTTTGCTTCTTTCAGTGCCTTTGCATCTCACCAACATATGAGCTCGCTCTGCAGATTGGTCAAGTGATCGAGCAAATGGGGAAATTTTGTCCAGATGTGAAGCTGGCGTACGCCATACGAGGCAACAGAAGTAAGAACGTGACCATAGTTGTAATGGAATAAAATTAGGGGCAAAATGGTATTTCAAGTCATTAGGTAGCCAGTGTTGGTTTAATATCACTGCATGAATTTGTCTGTTCTGTTCAGTGGAGCGAGGCATCAAGTTGCAGGACCAGATTGTCATTGGGACACCAGGCACAGTCCTCGACTGGTGCACCAAGTACAAGCTCATTGACCCCAAGAAGATCACTATGTTTGTGCTGGACGAGGCTGATGTGATGATCGCCACGCAGGGTCATCGGGACCAGAGCATTCGTATCCACAGGTGAGCTCCTTGTAGAGAAACCTACAAGTGTGGATTGATATTAATAAAAGATGAGTCTTCTGTCACGTTCAAGCTTCTCTAGTCATAATATTTTTCCCATTCTCTTGTTACCACTGCAGACAGCTGACAAAGGACTGTCAGATGCTCCTTTTCTCTGCAACCTTTGAGGACTCTGTGTGGAGGTTTGCAGAGCAGGTGGTTCCCGACCCAAACATCATCAGGCTGAAGCGTGAAGAGGAGACGCTGGACACCATCAAGCAGTTCTATGTTCTCTGCAAGGAGAAGGAAGACAAGTTCACAGCACTCTGCAATCTGTACGGAAGCCTTACCATTGCACAGGCCATGATCTTCTGCCATGTAAGTCCCCTTCCAGAAACTCAGCCCATTGCAATGCAAAACTAACTTTTCCTTCACTGTTGGACCTCATTTACATCTGGTGTCAACATGCAGTCTCTATATGGATACATTAAGTGCCCATTATAATTTAATAAATTATGTCTTGTTTTGTCTAATCCAATGCAAAATGAAAAATAATCAGTTTAAAATTATATAAACCATCAACAAGTTGCATATTCCCATATTTTGTGAAGCAGGAATTTTTGGCATTTTTGCATTAAAAAGTGACCAAAACAATTATTATTAAAAGCATAACACATCCGCATATAGCATTTAGCCCAAATCACCTCTGTGCTGAGGTACAGCCTCATAGAGCTGTTTAGTTTGCTTTTCTTATGGATGAGGTCATGCTCTTTAGATTGCTTTTACACATTGGGGAGGTCTGACCTGGCATTAACGTGTCTTTTTCCTTCTCCATACAGATAGAATGTTAACGCCAAGTCTAAACAAGGTCTTGAATTTTGGTAAATTGACAGATGTGTTTTAATCAGTGATACATTCTGCATATTGTACAATCAGAGAACCACATCTGAGCAGAAATCACACCACAAAGACTTTGTCACTTAAAGATTTGCTATTATGCTGTGATAAAAATGTAACTTCCTTAGTTTATCACAAAAGAAGTTGCCTGGCCATGTGGGTTTTAGCCAATTTGCAAGAAAAGAGTCATAGCGGACATGGTCAGATCTCTCGCATACATCACTCTGTACTCTTAGTACATTCTGGATGTAGTATGAGCTTTTCAGTCTAGCTGATGCTTTTTTTTTTTTTTTTCTCAGACTCGTAAAATGGCTGCTTGGCTGACTGCACACCTGACCAAAGAGGGCCACCAGGTGGCGTTGCTGAGTGGAGAAATGACCGTGGAGCAGAGAGCCGCTGTCATCGAACGCTTCAGGAATGGCAAAGAGAAGGTGCTTGTGACCACAAATGTGTGCTCCAGAGGTAAGAGAAATGAAGACTGACGAGCCAGATTTAAAAAAAATTAAACCTTCATCTTTATGTTGGGAGATGAGTATCAATATCTCGAACCCATTTGTGACCATTTTACAGGTATTGATGTTGAGCAGGTGTCACTTGTGGTCAACTTTGACCTCCCAGTGGACATGGACGGGAATGCCGACAATGAGACATACCTGCACCGTATTGGCCGCACAGGACGCTTCGGCAGAAGAGGATTTGCTGTCAATATGGTTGACAGCAAACACAGCATGGATATTATCAACCAAATTGAGATGCATTTCAGTATGTTCCTGTTTCTTTGGCCTTGATCATGTCAAACAGTAAATGTAAGGGTCCTAACTTTCTTGCCTCTGCCTTTCTCCCACAGACAGAAGAATCACAAAACTTGACACGAGCAATCTTGAAGAAATGGAAAGCCTGATGAGCTGAATGGTTTGCCCCATGCACTACCCAATACTGAGGCAGTTAGACGTGTTACCTCAAATGTGACTTGAGTTCTTTCAAGGGTTTATTGTTTGCATTTTATTGTTTACAGGAGAGAGATGCATGCTAATGTTGATTATGCAAAACTAGTGTGCCAAAGTTTTCACTTGGATTTCTTTTGATATGTCCGACTTTGATCACAAGTCACCTTAAGCCTTTAAGCTGCGTCTCCCAGAGACTCTAAACTAACCACTAGCTGTTAAAACAGTGTTTAAGAATGGTGGAGATAATACTATCGTTGATGGTTTGCTGTGCTGTGTTTTTTGATTTGAAGTGTATTATTAATGTAGATTGGGATATAAGAATGTGTCTCATCTATAGATTTTTGCATGGTTTGATCAAGGCTGAGTTCAGATAAAATATCCTTGGGTGACTTGAAGCATTTTAAGGTTTAAAATGCCTGTTTCAGTCTAGTGGTAGAGTGGTTGTTACTTCAACTTAATTTGGTTGTAATATCAGTTTTGTGTGGATAAAAATAAATAAATATACTGTCACATGTAAAACCTGTGCAGACAGTTTATTACTGTTGAAGTGCTGTTGTATGACAGCTTTGGCTTGTCAGAGGACAGGCACCTTATCAAGACCATTACATGGGGTGTATATAAAAGAATGAATCAGAAGCAGTTTATTAAACAATAAAAAAAATATTTCTTCAGAAAATTTACAATATGTTCAAAAGATTAGAAACCTGTAACTTCCTAATTCTTTGTGCACTTTGTGTGATTGTTTTAATAAATTTTCCACAGTGAGGAGTCGTTAAGTTTATGATGAAGGATGTGATTAGTCGTCATAGTTTTTCACACAGATAATTTTGTCACTCCATTCAGTGTGGAAAAAATGTAAAAAAGAAATACCTGCTCAGAGTGAGGGGCATTTGAAACTGGCCTTTTTGACAGCAGCCTTTTTGACTCCAAAAAACAGGAGTTAAATATTAACATTGTCTTCTTTCTTGAATTCATTAGTTTTAATTGTGTTTTTCCCACTGGGACCTTTCAGAATGTGAATAACGCTATTTTTCTATTCGGTGCTAGCAACAGATTCATTTTTTCCTTTTTGAACTGCATGATTCCTCTTATCTGGAGTAATAACTCAACATGTAGAGTAGAAGTTTGTTAAAAAGGAGGGTATAGTTCAGAACTTTATGTATTCATGTTTACACACATTGAAAGCAGGGCTGTGGTTGTAATATAAAAGTAAAGTGTGATCATTTCTCATATTAATCTAGTGCATCCTAGTTAAAAACTTTATTTGGCATATAAGAACATCAACCATGAAAAACAGATGTGGAAAATGGCAGCAAATAAACTTAAGGAAACCCTGTTGTTGTCAGCTGGCCTGCAGATATTACAAGAATTTCTGATTATGCTTTGGTATTGAATACCAGTACAACTGCAACCATCACACAGTGAAACCAGGTTCTCTTCTCTACATCAATACCTGAAAGCAGATCCGAGTAATGAATTTGGTATTTTCCTGCTATTGTGATTAAGATAATGTGAGGAAACAGAACATACATGTCCTCATAGGCCAGCTGTGGTTACATTCAGGCATACAGTATACATTTTCATGAAATTGAAACTGAAGTTGTTTTAGCCAATAAAAGTTAGAGTTGTGTTAGAGCTGTGTATTGTTAAAAAATCCGCCCCAGACATAACAGTCTCTGCTTTGAGACTATTTTGAGTCAAATATGTTTTTTCCACAAAAAAGTTCAATTAACTCATAACAATTTCTTTAAAACAAATCTACTAATGGAACCTCTTCACGTCCCAAAAGATAAGATGTGAAGAAAATCCAAAACACAAAACCACTTTCAATGACTCCCTTATTGAAAAATTCAGAATTTATGAATACCATATTTTTAGTTTCAAAAGTTTAACCACTGGACACAGGATGCCTGCTGTTTAAAAGAAAAAAGTTAATTCTTAGTGTATGTGTGCTGAAGGTTTTAGTTTCCACACTTCACACTTCTGTGAATTGCATATTGGACCAGGATTGGCTCCACAGATCATGCTTGTATTTAAACATCTTAAACTTATGATTTAAGGTGAGCACAGAGAAACATCATTCTGCACAGTGGTCAGAGATCAAACATCCAAATAACAATAAGCAAAACGTGTTTTAGAGTGGAGGGGGACTTTAAATACCACCACAGAGGCAAATGTCAACTGCAAAAGAGAATCTTAAAATGATTTCATTTCAGTCGTGCTCCACCACACAGCCGTCATTCTGAGAAATGCACAGCACTGATCTGTTCAAGATGCCACACTGGGCCAAAGTCATATCCATGTCTGTGAAGCTCCTCCGTGGCACATCCATAGTCTCAATGGAGGCCTCTCCATACTTGGCTCCATACCTGGCCTCTGCACTGGCTCTCACCATCAGCAGAGTGTCTGTAGGCTCAAAGTGCTGCTGGAACCTCCTGCCACATGGTGCTCTGATAGCCAACAGCAAACTGCCACAGGCACCAGCTGCTTTGGTTGTTACTGGTCCTGGGTCTAGTGGCATTGGCCAGATCCTGAATGGCCCATCAGCCCTGGTGTCCCCTTCAGAGGTGCTGGTCTGTGCTGTGGGGAGATCTGGCTCCTGCTGCCTCTGCCTTTGCTGCAGGATAGCACCATCAGACAGGGTGAGCTTGGACATGTCTTTGTCCAGGCTTCTCCCTGGACTCACCTCTGACTGCCTCCTCTCTATGGATGGCAGGACTTTGTACTTGTTCAAGGACTGTGGTGGAGCAGCAGGAGCGTGTTGCAGCATGTGCAGAACTTCATCCTGGCTCAGATGGCTGGTCTGCCACATGATGGGCTGGGACTGGGAGCGGAGGTTTCTGTCCGGCCTGCTGTATACAGGAGACTCCGGAGACACAGGTGTCCTCTGGATGCTGTCTGTGTTGTTGACAGCAGGCCTGCTTCGTCCTTTCGAGGACTTTGGTCTTGTTAGATGCATTGAAAACCAGCTGTTTAGTGTCTGTCTTGCATAAGAGTTCCCGATGGCCTGTCGGTGAAGATTTCCAGTTGTTTCCTGGCTTCAGTCCTTCGCGAAAAGAGTAAAGAAAGTCATATCTGAGTTAATATGTGTCTCCATTTTCCTTGAGAATAAGCATGCACGACGCTGTTCAGTCAGTTTTAGAAACTGTCGTAACACTTACGAGTATATTACTGCAGCTTCACTACACGTTAAAACGTTAAAATGCCATTTGTGCGCATTACTTTTCCGTCGCTTTCCACCCACTTTCCCAGTTTCAGTCTCTCTTCAGCGTCACCGGTTGCCATGAAAGTCTGGTTGCCATGACGACGACTTGTGAATTAAAGGCAGGGAGCCCCCTGGTGTTGGAAGTACGCAACTGTAGTTAAATTCATCAGCTTTTAATCATTTGGAAACATCCAATTGGAAACATTCCTCTCTATAATGAGCTTACTTTCTCCAGTCGCTTCACACACTTGTTCAACAGTAAATCTCATATTCAAACTGCACTAATGCAAACAAAACAGTGCCTAAGGCTTTTGCACAGTACAGTATATTATATATTCTTTATCATAAGTATTGTTGCATTAAGTGTACATCAATTTAGTGTTGCAGGTGTGTAGCTCCCCTCTGTATGTGTTTATGTTTAGCTCATATAACATTTAACATAAAAAATGTCCTTATTTGGTGTGATAACAGTGCTTCATGGTCATTTACATATTAAAAAATAATCAATTGTGCAGCTTAGCTAATGGCAAATAAAGGGATGGGTTAGATACCACTTGGGCTTAAATAAGATCAGAAGAAAGGACAAATATTTAACAGGGAAAAATATTGATTTTGTAATTATTATTTGTGTACATACATCTGTCTCTAGGTTAAAATATCCAAAAGTTGGGTGCTGTGGACTGATAATCAAAGTAGGATTCAGGGACCACAACACTCAATACCATTAGCATAGAATTATAAAAACATGACACATTCAAAGTTAACTTTTCTCCTCATTTACTTTAGACAACAGGTAACAAAACTCTTCTCTGGCAAAAGGCCAGTGGAAGTAATGTGTTGATGAATAATCAATAATCAAATAAATCTAACACAAATTCACAATCAACAACCAAGTGGAAAATGTTTATTAGGCTAAAGTGTTGATGAGTTCTGTTGGAATCCAGAGTAATATATATAATATACAGTACAGTACATTCTTAAAAAAAACAATACACCATTAACTTAAAAAAATAATAATCAATTAAACCTTGAACATTAGCTATAAACTGAGTATATTTTGTCTTTTATATCTTAAATGAAAAATTGCACTGAGATCATATACAGTGGGAACAACTCTGAGTCCACTGATAATAACTTTTGTTTCATAATTTACCAGAAATGTTTCTAAAGCAAGATTTGATTTTTCCTATTATAATTTTGTTTATTTAGAATGGTACTTCACTGCAAAGCAATGGTTCTGTGTTTCAGCACCTTTGTTTCATAATGTTAGAGTTTGTTTCGTTTTTGTTTAAACTATTTTGGAATTGGCACATTTAGACTACATTTGTCATTGGAGAAGTTGTTTTACAAACAGTTACTCTTCTGTTTAAGTTGCAGTTCGCCGATAGTCTTTTCTCTGTGTTTTAAATTCAAGACCATAGTAAATTATTCAATATCTGACATCATCATCCAATATCATTTAGTATTAGATGGGAGCAATTCCCCTATGAAACAGGAGCAAGTGTGTAAATATTTGAATGAATGCACTCCATGAATCCTGAATTAATGGCCCTATTATTACATTATTTCTTACAAGCATTGGTATCAGATCTAAATAGGGCTGCAACTAACAATAATTTTCATTATTAACTAATTGGCTGATTATCAAATCAGTAAAAAAACTCAAAACTAACCCAATTCACTTCCATGGAAAACCAAGAATAGCAGTAAATTCCTTACATTTGAGAACCTGAAAAGCAGCTTGAGAAAATTACTTCTGCCCGAAATAAGAAGTATCAACTTAGTCTTATTTCTTTGGATAAATAATGAAAACAAGCAGCTGTTAGCAGTGAGCAAAGACGTCTGAGTCCCACTGTAGTTCTCTTCATCTATATCAATTCAATATAAATGGATCTAAATGATTATTCTGAGGCACATGATAAAGAGTAAAGACAAACATGCAATATTCTGATTTACAGTAGTTTTATATTAAAAACTGGGAATGCAGTAGGTACAGACTAGTGTCAGTGAAATTACGATTGATTATTTGTGCCCAATATTGTCCAGATAATACACAACCCATAAATCACCAAACAGGAGTAGCAGCCTGCTCAACAGCCTGTCATCAGGGACACATAGATATTCGATCATGTAATGTATGAATAGGGAAATAATAGCCCCTCTTGCACTCTATGGTAAATCAAGCAGGTTATGTTGAGAGTAAAGTTCCTCTGTGATCTGGTACACCTCAGAGATTAGAGGCAGAGCTTCTCCCAGCATGGCCACGACCTGCTCCGGGGGGCCTACATTCATCACTTCCAAGAAAGCCTGACGCCCAGGGAGCACGCAGAACGCCACGCCCGCAGCCTTACGAACTACCCAAGGGTGGTGCTGGGCGAGGGACTCGTTGTAGGCATCTGCACACATGACAGATGTCTTGCTGTCCTCTGTGCTGGTGCGGAGGCGCTCCAGGAAAAGCTCCAGCCACCTCAGTGCACGGTGGAGCCTGAGCAGAGTACGGCAGCCTGACTCTGGATGACCGCCTCTCTTGGTCAGGTCCACGAGTTCATTGTCCAGCTCGTATTTTACCATGGACTGGACGGTGACGTACTGAGACCCGTTCTCGCCGTTTAAATGGCTGACCAGGACCTGGATCTTGTTGACAGCATCTTTAGAAATGAAGCCAAAGACGCTCCCTAAGCTGTTCAGAAACCTATTAAAGAGATACACAAGAACAGTCTGTTAACACCTCTATAACATTTGCCAGTCTGTTACAGTTGAGTCAAGGCTGGATTACCAACTGGGGGCAACTGCTGAGGGACCCCAGACCCACAGGGGCACCAGAAGCCTCTTTTTGTCTTCATAATTTGATGAATCACTAATCTATTAGAAATTTGCACCACTGAAGTATAATAACTCCCCCCTCTGTCTCATGGCCCTGGCACTGAGGAGGGATTGTCATTGGTTTTTTTCCCAAATAGTCTAGTAAGAACACAATCAAGCACTTGTTTATTGTTTATGTGTCATGTACATGTGTGCATAATATATATGTGTGCATATTGTATGTACTTTATATGCAGCACAAATCTTATCTTACTCAACTTTCTCAATGCAGCTCTAAAGTACAGGTTGGTTTCTAAAGGCTCGTGTACACTGGGGAGTCAGTAGGGGTCAAATAGCAACTTTTTGCTCCGGAGTCCCATGAGAGGTTAATCCAGCCATGAGTTGGGTGTAGCATGTACAGTATAGTCATGTGGTCAATGCATACAAAATACAATGAGATCACACAGGACACATAAATCGAACACATACCAAAAGATCACTTACTTTACAAGCCCACGCCACCCAGCGACATAGTGTTGGAGGTAGACTTCTTTATTTTCTGACAGACACAGCTTGAAAGTGTCGAGCACCTCCTGTAAACTGAATTTCTGCTCTACTGATCCCTCAGAATCAGCCATGGTTTCTCTATGAGGAAATACTGTCGAACAGACAACAGATGAATGAGAAAATATATGTGTCGGTCACCAACAAACCAGAGGTCGCTACAGATGTAAGTTCTGATGTAAACAACCAAAGACCGAACACATTACGTTAGAGAAAACTTAAAAGTGAAAGGAAAACTCTGCATTTCTCTCTGTCTACGAGAAACGACAGGTCGGTACTGTTTTAATCCTCTTCTACTGCGCAAGCTCGAGCCGGGAATCACCGGAAATTGGCACACTTTCCCTTCAAAATAAAAGCGCTGAAATTGGCTGTTAAAGCCAGATACAAGAAGCAGTTGGGATGGTTGAGAAATTATCAATGTCATGGGGATTTATATTTTCAGAAGGGCAGAAAGTAAAATGGCAAAAGAAAGGTACATGACATGGTCATGGTGCCTTATCCAGTGACCCCGACGTGATTATTTCACCCTTAGATTTTTATATTCAAGAGAAAATAGAGATAAAGAAAAAGCAAATTGGGTACATATAGCCAATGAAAGACTGATAACAACTTTTAAACCATGTATTACAATATATACAGATGATCAAAGGAGCTTAAGAATGGAAACACTGGATTTGCATTTATTGTCCCACAACACCAGGTCACTTATATACAGCGTGTAAAGAGTCTTTATATACAGTCATTGTATCATATCAAGACTGAGATTAGAAAACACAGGATTAAATAAAACAATGCAGTTAATGGAGAAACATCCACAAGTATAAAATACATAGAGAAGAAGACATTTAAGAATTGTGGGGTGGGAGTATTGAATTATAACAATATATTTAGCATTTAGGAGGGAAACATAAAGCTTTGTTTGAGTTTTAAAAAGAAACTGGGTTAATAAAGAAAAGCTGGTGTTTTGTTTGTTATTTTAACCAGACCAAATGGAAGTTGGGAACTCTTGGCTCACACTCCAATATAGTAGGTGGCGGTAATGCACCTTTAACGCTAAGTGCGACTCGCCATTAATCAAAAAGAAGAAGAAGAGGAACATGCTAACCGGAAGTTTTACGATCAATAGCGGTTTGCTTGACACCACAAACCCCTCATATGTATACAAGTGTGTCCAAATTCGAAAACATTTCTACATAGATAAAGGCTTATTCGTCGCAAGCAGTCGGGTCGTTTCGGTTATCTAGGTGTTACCTGCTATGTACAAGAACCGGCTGCACTGACGAGAAAACATGCCTGAAATAAAAGTAACGCCACTTGGTGAGTAATGTTACAATGGCTAGTTAGCACCTGCTAAGCAAGTTCCGTCAACATTTTTACTTTAGCTAGATAACTTAAACGCTAGATATCCGCTTTTAACAAAGTATTGAGTTGTGTATTTTCTGCTGTGTCTGTCCTAAATCAGCTTGTAAGTTTGACCCTTTACTGTTGAGCTGGAGTGGCTAAATGAGTGGATTTATATGCGTGTGTATTTTTAAGGTGTCTCACAGTTTGACTTTCCCTCTCCAAGGTGCTGGACAGGATGTCGGCCGCAGCTGTATCCTCGTTTCTATTGGAGGCAAAAACATTATGCTAGACTGTGGGATGCACATGGGATACAATGATGATGTA